TGGAGGCTCTGGATTGTTATCGACGCAGTGTAAACGTTTTCAATGGCATAAGACTGCTTCTTGAGTTTGAAGATACCTGGAAAGTGAGCTTTCGTGATCGGCTTCAGGGAGTGTACACCAGTCTGGTCAGAGTTCTGTTGAAGCTTTCCATGACTGACGAAGCTTTATGTGCCGCTGAACAGGGACGAGCTCAAGCTTTAATGGATCTCATGGCATCAAATTATGGCCATGAATTACCTCTGCCTTTGTCTCTTGAATTTAAAGAAATGATGTCAGAGATAGCAACCGATACATCTTCTCAAATAGTTTTTGTAGCACTTGAGGGTGAAAAGATCAACTTATGGGTACTCAGCAAAGGAAAAGATGTTCATTTTAGACAGAACAAAGTACAGGACAGAGATGCGTTTAGCTTTCTGAAGAGCTTAACAAAAGCTGCTTTCAAAGAAAAGAAGTGTGGTTGTTCTTTGGAACTGCAAAGAGGTGATGATCTACAGCTTACAAAATCCTCTTGCCAAACAGAGCAGTCATGTTGCCAGAACAATTCCTTGCAAGTTTTGTATCGTAGCATTTTCAGCCCCATCGAGAAGTTCCTAAAGGGTGATGAAATAATCATTGTCCCGGATGGTCCGTTAGGCCTTGCTCCTATTGCTGCGTTTGGGGATGAAGCTTCAAGATACCTCAGTGAATCTTTCAGGATCCGCATGATTCCGTCGCTGACAAGTTTGAAGCTGCTCGCTGATTGTCCTGATGACTACCACAGTAAGACTGGGGCACTTCTCGTGGGAGATCCATGTCTGGAGGAAATCAAAAACATCTTTGGTCAACCCAAAATATCGCAGTTGCCATATGCCAAAAAGGAAGTAAAGATGATAGGCGAGATTCTTAACACCACTCCGCTCACGGGAAAGGAAGCGACTAAGGATGAGGTGCTGAAACGGATTGGTTCGGTTGCTTTGGTACACATTGCTGCACATGGGAAAGCGGGAACTGGTGAAATTTTCTTAGCCCCTAACACAGAACGGAGGTACTCGGATCCTGAAGAGAAGGACTATATCATGAAGATGGCAGACGTACACGCTGTTCAACTACGAGCAAGGCTTGTTGTGCTTAGTTGCTGTCATAGTGGCGAAGGAGAGATCAAGGCTGAAGGAGTGGTTGGTATTGCTCGGTCTTTCCTGGGAGCTGGTGCTCGCTCCGTTCTGGTGTCTCTCTGGGCAATTGATGACGAGGCCACGATGGAGTTCATGAAGAGCTTCTACCAGCACTTGAGGAATGGAAACAGTGCCAGTGTGTCCCTTAACAAGGCCATGAAATGTCTCCGGAAGTCAGCAAAGTTTAATGAGGTGACGTTTTGGGCTCCATTCGTACTCATTGGTGATGATGTCACACTAGATTTAGGAAGAAAAGAGCAGGAGCATTGTAGGTAAGATGTATTTTAGAATCATTTCAAAATAATTATGAAGTTTTAATATGTAGTTTCCGTTCTTAGCAATTTTAGTTTACCGTTTGATTTTGTACTTTTTAAATTGTTAATTTTAGTGTTGACGGTATGCATAGGAGGGATGCACCTGAATTGTGGCGATCCTTAAATCAACACGACAATTGAGGTGAGTTATAATTACTTTTAAGGGAAAATATAAGCTCAAAAGAGTTCTCTATTATTATTTAGTCATCTCTCAAGCATGCAAACATGTTTAGACCATGATTAGAAATACTCCATGGTGTTAATCCGAAAGGTAATTACAAAACATTCGAAATTAATAGTAATAAACAATTATAGAAACTTACAAACAAATAACAAATGTCCTATTAACTATGCCGCACAGTCACAAGTTATTGTTGAAAACTTTTGTTTATCTTTTTTGCAGAAGCTGAAGCTAATCAAGTTCAGGGAGGAAAACTCCACACAACTGGACCCATATCATATCCTACAGGAGTCCGTGTTTTCCTCGTGGTGCTTAAGCTTAAAAATGATTTTTATAAGATACTAGCTGGTGTGAGGCATTGTTGTAGATTCGAAGCACTTCTTATAATCGTAACAAGTCGATGTAATTTTTCTCTTAAGATTGTTAATCTCAAGTATACTCTAAAACTCACAAAAAGTTGGTGAGAGTAGCCTTTCTTAAATTAAACCACTCACGATTCTCAGTGATGACAAAAGTATAGCTTCTCACATTTTTTCTAGATTAGCGTTGCTTTTTCTCAGATTTAAAGTTCGTTTTGATAGAGACTAGGAGAAAGAAGCAAAAGAAGGAAGGTTATTGGTCATTTGGTTATTATTTACTTGTTCTAGTGTCGGTGAGCACACAGAGAGCGAAACATTGTGTATTTAGACTTTTATATCCTGACATATATTGGAAATTATTTTTAACGTTATTCAAGTTTGACAAGATGTGCTTATCTGTTTAAACAGAAACCTACGTAAAACTTTTTAAAGTATGTTAAGATAGTAATAACACTTTTTTTGTGGTTTTTCACTTCGAAGAATACATTATTATTGTTTCCTATACTTTGGTTTTATTAAGCAGAGGAAACAAAGAACGTCTTGGTTTATATCATCATGAAGTTGACAGTAGTGCACTGCTTTAGAGCAATATCTGCTAATAAAAACCTACATAGATTAAAGTTACAACAATTGTTAATGCAGGTAGCAACCATAATGTATGTTTGAAAGAAATTCCAGACTAAGAATTAATCTTTTACCTGATCAGCAGGAAAGACTTTAGGAAAAGGAATGAAATTTTATCATTTATTTGTAAGTAGAACGTATTTACATTTTTATGGTAGTTTAGTGTCGTTTCCTTAGTCTGAGCCATTGTCTGGTTGGACTCGTATAGCTGGTATGGACTGGCATGTTGCAATTTTAAATTTTAGTTTAATTTTAATTTGCCATGCCAAAATCCGGTCAACACTCTTTATTAGTTGTATTTTACTGCTAATGTTTATTCTTCGCTCGGTGACAGACCTCTCGTTAGAAAATGAAACTAAGATAAGTTAAATCACTTTGTTAAGTTTACCGATCAGATTGTTAAAGGATGGGCGTGTCTGGATGAAAACGTAAAAATATTACCAGATAAACCGAAGTTGGCAATTTTCCGGGCAATTTTGCATTTCCTCGTTACAGATATGGTAACTTTGCTGCATTATATTTTAATTTCAAAATAATTATCGCTATATTATTCAGTCAAGTTTAGGCAGATAGTTTGAAAGGCTCAACGTTTTGAATTTCAACGTGTTGTCACAATTGACGTCGACTTACATGCTGTGGAGATGATCATCTCATTTTCATTCTTTGACTCAAGGAAGACGAAGAACTGTTTTTGTACATCGACATGATCGAGGAGAAAAGCAAACCAGTCGCAGTCAATCGAATCTCACAAGGTGACAGTGGTTCCAGCCCGGATGAGAATCTCGAAATCCGGCCATAATGACTACATACAGACCTAACAAAAGATTTCCTGTTGTCTTCAAATATTGTTGGATGGTTCTTTCACAACGGAGGAACTTCATGGATAGAGAACTGTGCTACTAAAGGACTTTACAAGCGTTTTACATTTGGAAGAACTTGACTGTCAATCAGCGCAAACACTCGAGATGAACTGAGAACTTGTTTGGGTGTGACTGCTCATTCATTGTGTCAGAGTTAACAGAGAGGCAGGAATGGTTATAAATCCCGACAAATTTCTTTGTTGTATGTTTTTGTTCGGTGTTTTGGCCTTGACCGTGCACAAATCACAATAGTTGTTTACTCCGTATTGAGGAACTAACCTATAGAAACGTTTTGGTTACGTAATTCATGCATAGTGTATAAGCGCAAAACAAAAGATTGTGCACGGTCATGGACCTTCCAACATAAATCTTGGCATCTTTGTCTGCCCCTTTGATGGTTGCCGGGTTACATGTCCATTTCCCTCTTAAAACCATGATTGTGTACAGTTAAAACAGGATTCCATTTGAGGAACGTACCTTGTAAAAATGTTTTTTAATTGTTTAATTTATATTTTCCCACAATTAGTGAATAGTCTTTTATATTTAATCATATTAAGACGGGAAGGGGAAGCTATTGAGGTCCCACCCATTTCGAACGTTTGTCATTGAAGCAATTAACTAGATTTGATAATTTGACTTTTTCCAAAATGTATCCAAAATAATTTTGCATGTCATGTTATTCGAAAGTTGAAGTTGAAATAACTTTCGCTTAATTTTTAGCCATTTTGGGGTATTTTCTAAAACGATACGGTTTGCAAAATCATGAGAAACGGATCTAAGAAGGTGGCTGTTGAAAATGAGACGTCATTCCATGTTATGGAGGTCAACGAAAATATTTGTCATTGTCATTTCAGAGTCAAAGGTTCCATTCTCTAAGAGTTGCAGGGCTAGGGCCTCGAAAAGCTCTCCTACCTTCGTCCGTTTGGACCAAACAAAAGGCCGGTTATAATGAGGTTAACGTGGATGTGTTTGCGGGAAATCCCCCGAGGAATTGATCGGAGAAACAAATTATACGACACGTTAATTGTTTGCAATACTAACGGATAAAACGGTATCCAATCTTCAGCCGTTAAATTCTTAATTATATTGTTAGATCAGTCTGTCGAAGAATAGTTTATACTATTACTTGTTACTACTGTTTGTTTATGCAGAAATGTCCGCGTTAATAATACTTAAAGGAATTTGAAGCTGCCATGCGTGATTAGTAAGAAATCGACCGCACTATTGTGCATGTACTATTTAGTTGTGATAAATCGTAATTGTAGTTAATGAAAATCTTGGCAGACTAAATATCATTAAATTGATTAAGTTTGTGGCCGTTTAAAACAAGTGTTCTTTTTCTAAAGCAAGCGCGTGGAGTTGATTTTAAGGCGCTGTACAAGGGCGGAGGGGGCGGGGGTGGGGCTGGGGCATTGGGTGAACAAATCGAGCTCTACCCTGTGCACGTCGATTATTTATCGCTCAGACTTTTCGGACATCTTGCAATGTCATGACTTTCGAGTCATTTTTAGACATCGTACTCAGTTCTCTGGCGGACAAAGTGACCGCCTGCGTTGAGTGGATATTTTGGTGGATGTTAAAAAAGTCGCGTAGAACGGCTTAGGCTGTCCACGTGAATACAGTTTGTGTCACAAGCTTTTAGGACAAACTTCTCGGAGGCACGTTAGAATATTAAGGTATCCAACGTGGCCTATCGAAAACGGTTCTTTTTTTATGGTATTTTTCGTTCTCCTCAACGGACGGTTCACTTCTACTTCAGTAGCTCTTTGGAAAAACTTACGGTAGATTACAACATTTGTGAGCGAACAAAAGAACCCAACTATTTACACTTTTTTGAAATGATACATATTTTTTCCTCTCTCTAATAACAGTTTATTTAATTCTTTGACCATCACATGAACCTACACTAGAACGAACAGAGCAGTTGTGAAATTTAAGCCTAAAAAAAATTCAGGCTTGAACGGGATTCGAACCCATGACTTGTGTGATACCAGTGCAGGATCAGTCATGTCTTCATATCTTCCTCCGCAGTTCAAATATATGATCTTTCATATGGCTGGTTTGCAGTGTCACGCCATCTGAAATAAAAATCATAACCATTCAATGAATTAAGTCAAGAAGCTGGGATATGAAAGATGATTGATATATAAACAACCTCGGCAAGATTTAGGTCTGTGCGGTTTTTCATTCTCCCGTTATTCGGAGAAGTGTTTCACTCAAATTTATAGAGCTTTGTATGGAGTCGCCATGTTTGTGCCCCTCGGAGGGACACAAACATGGCGGCCGTAAAGTAACAGAAACATCTGTCATCGAGTTTTGCCATTGAAACGAAGAGTTATTACTCTAGAGCACCGAAACATTGAAATAATCACTTTTTATAGAGCAACAACTGTTTGGTTAGCAAAAACTTGAGCAATAACACATCTTTTGACCTACTCGAGAGCCTTGTCGGGCCGCCATTTTAATGCCACACAACGCATAAACTTGGAAATTCAGACATGTTCTATTACATAATGAAGAACCCTGTCGAGCTTAAACGTTGCAAAACATCAAGTCATGAAAAGGTCTTACATCTGATGAAACTAAAACTTCAGAAGGATTGGGAATTTCTTATTTTGGAAAATGATGACGTCACATGAAAAGCGGCAATATTCACTTGTTTACTAGAACGATACATATGTCAATATTTGCGAAAATGAAAGACCGACTGCTAATGCTGGGCAGTAGAAGCTTAAATGACGTTTGTCTCCAAAATGTTCTTTACGACTCTGCCTCAAAAGGCGAATCTATACAAGTACATTTGACTTTTAAAAGAGCAATATCATCCTAGACCTAAGACTTTTTCGTGTTATTAGAATGAACCGAGGCTTAAGCCAATCAAACAAGCTGATAAACCCGTGCGTGTCGATATTCTCCACTACACATCCAAACATACTCGAAAGGCTTAGCCGGCATGTAAAGTGGTAAAGGCCGTAAAAACATAAAAGGGGAAAAAAATGGGACTGTGTTCCCTCTAAGGATTCGAATTTTCAAGATTGTTCTTTTAAGTTTAGAAGAAACAACGGAAGAAATAAAATTTACAATACTTTCCCGAAACAAAGGATGAATTAAACTTAACCCGAAAGGCTTACCATTCATGTTTAGATGGTCAATTTGCACAAACCGAGGAGGAGGGGGAAAATCCCATATAAATATGACGGGGTTGCTTGTCGGAAATTTTAAAAAGAACCCGTAAGAGTTACCAAGACCCAGTTTCGTGGGCGTGGCTTGACATTTTTTTCACCCCTGAGCAACCAGGGGTGAAAAACATGGCTTATTACCCTGAAAGGTACCGCTAAGACTCCCGCTGTGGACCTTTTGATGCTGAACACACTAAGAGGTAATAAAGCCGCTTTTTTAAGCCCTTAAAAGGTATGACGAGCACCCCCCGTCCTTTTTTATATGGAAGTCCCCCCCGGACACAGACAAGCTAGCCATGAGTCTTCGCACGAGCTCTGTGGGATCTGTTCTGTGTCGCTGGATCAATTTAGATCAATTTAATGTTGCCTCCTTTTGTCNTCCGACATAAGCCAACTCACATGTTCGCGAGATGTGGGGCGGCCCACGAAAACGTAAGGGACTCCACAGAGGGGTACCCACAAGTTAATATTACAACAACTTCAAAGTTGACATGTTTCATTAAATTTGCTGGAGAACCAGTTTGGCATGTCTATGATTGCTCAAGAAACTTGATTTTCTTATGGCAGCCTTTTCTGACGGGCATGGTTTTCAAAATTTTGAATTTTCCATGGTTGGAGCAAAAACTACTCTGGAGTAAATTTTTACATTCTTAGATTACTTTAGCCTTCTTTATCGGTTTAGAGTATATTTGAGCCCTTTTGGTGATCTCGTAACGTTTGAAAACTCTTGAAGTTCAAGATGACGAATACAAGAGGGCTACTGTTTAGAAGTAATGACGTCACTCCTACGTGATATGAAATGGTCATTCCAAGTTATCAACCTCAAAGGAAATATCTTTCATTTTTATTTCATTATCACAGCTCTCATTCTCTAAGAGGTACAGGGCTAGGGCCTCAAAAAGCTCTCCTACCTCTGTCCCTAGGGACCAAAAAAAGGCCGATTCAGATAAGGTTAACGCGGATATGTTTGCGGGAACTCCTCACAGAATTAATCGGAGAAACAAATTAGGGCACGGTAATCCTTCGCAAT